GAGATCCATATGTAAAAGGTTCAGGTTGACTACTTTATTGCTTCCTAGCAATAGTACAAGAATCTCCCAGACTACTCACCCTTCCTTGAGAACAAACAGATAATGTTCCGTGGAACTTAGGGGATGTCAGTCCTAGGTCTCTTGCAACTGTGTAATGACTCAAGGCTAATTCCCTGTTTGATCACTCCTCCTTGTCTGGCTGATAGTTTTCCAAATTTAAAACAAACTTTTTTACATATTCAATCTTTCTGCTCCAAAAGACATTGTAAAGTTGATGATACTCTATCAATTGCCATGCTATTCAGTTTTAATGTTGTTCTTTATTTTCTTTCCCCTCTTTCCCTTTTGTGTAGAGCAATGGTTCTCAACCTGTGGTTCCTTCCAACCATATGATTCTATAATTCTATCAACCCATTTTCTTTTGCATGCATTTCCTAACTTTTAACTAGGCCTTCAACAAGCTGTTTTACTCTGCAAACTCTAAGAAGTATTCTGAAAGGGAGCCCTGACTCCTGATTGGCATTTCTTCTGCTGACTTGAAATCCTGGGAACAAGGAGCAAAAATCACTGCTCCATCCTCAGTTGCTGCATGTCCTGAAGTAGCAAAATAAAACCCTCCCATGTCTTCTACAACAGTGGTTCTTAACCTTTCTTCACCATGGACCCCCTTTAAATACCTTTTGTGGCCCAGGATCATGGCCCCAGACTCCCAAGGCGTCACTCAAGATTGAAATCATAACATTTCTTCATGACTCCCATGTGACAACATCGCAGGGGTCATATGGTTGGAAGGAACCTTGGAGGTCTTCTAGATCTCATACCATCATGGACAAAATGGTTATCCAATCTTTTCTTGAAAACCTCCAAGGATGAGCACTCACAACTTTGAAGGGCAACCTGTTCCACTGCTTAACAGTTCTCACTGTTAGGAACATTTCTCCTTATTTCCAGGTTAGATCTCCCTCTGAGGAGCTTCCATCGATTGCTTCTTGTCCTACTCTCAAGTGCTATAATTATCACCATCTTTACTATGGCAGCCCTTCAAGTGTTAGAAGACTGGTATCATGTCTCCCCTCAGTCTTCTTTTCTTTAAGTTAAACATACCTAGTTCCTTTAACTATTTTTCATAGGATTTAGCCTCCAGACACTCATCATCTTTGTTGTTCTTCTCTACACTCTTGTATTGTGGTGACCAGAACTGGGTGGAGTATTCCAAATGGGGACTCACCAGTGCAGAGTAGAGCAATACTATCACTTCCCTTGATCTTGATACTATCCCTCTCTTGATGCAGCCCAGGACTACCTTGACTCTTTTGGAAGCTACAGCACAGTTCTGACTCATACTTAAGCAATGGCCCATCAGTACATCTAGATCCCTATCACAGTCATTACTGTTTATCTAGGTACTGCCCACCCTGTACTTGTGCATCTGACATTTTCTGCCTAAGTGAAGACCTTATTTTCCTTGCCACTGAACTGCATCTTATTGGTAATTTCTTCCCCTGTGGGAAAAAAATCAAATTATAAGTTTCCAGCCAGTGACATAATGTAGAGAAGTCATTAATTTAAGGTGACTGAGGTGACAAATTGTGAAAGAAGAAGCAGAGACTCTGTGGTTTAAAAAAAATAGAGTACAATGTGAGAAATTGGCATTTGTTTTTTTTTTAAAAAAAGAGGAAATGAAAAATATAAACTTTCATCAGTTATCAAAACTGGAGTGTTGGTATTTTCAAAATTGGACATAATGAACTAGCAATTTTTATGGAAACTATAAATAGGAGAGCAGGTTTCTTTGGAATTTTAATGGCACTTCTCATACATGTCATAAATCTATTGATAAAAACGTTGAGAACAAAATGAGAGAAACAAAAGTCTCTCTGTTTCAGTTAACATTTAAAGCTAGCCAGGAACTTTTAAAATGTGCTGAACTCAAACATTATTTTAATAAAATGTTCTTTCTATTTCCTTAAACCAGCCCTAGGTGGCAACAATACATCATATCCGATTGCCCTAATACGATCTAAGTGACTTTGAAAAGCTGGAATTGTAAAGAACATTTCATGTAAACATATGTGTGATTCAGGGCACTGGGACAAACCAAAATTCCAGAAGCTTCTATTCCAGTGATGGTGAACCTTTTAGAGACCGAGTGCCCCAAAACCTCCCCCCGTCCCTGCTCCACCCTGCCCTGCCCACTGGGCCACCCACCACCTCCACAGCCCGCCACAGATCACCCAGGCAGCCCAGCAGCGCCATGGTGGCCACATCCTCCGCCGGTGCCCCGCAGCATCATCTGCGTGCGATGGGGCGCAAGGGCGGAATCTTGTCCCTGCTGCCCAGCTACCATATCCTTAGCTGCGCTGCTTTGTGTGGGCCACGCCCGGAGGCGATTCTCCTCCAGGGGGGCTGCTGGTGAGGAGGGGCCCATGGGAGGAGGTGGGGCTGGGATGACGGTGCGTGTGCCCACAGAGAGGGCTCCGAGTGCTGCCTCTGGCACGCGTGCCATAGGTTCGCCACCACTGTTCTATTCGTTTTCAGTACAGTCACTTGATAAATAATGAAAAGAGATTCGTATTTTACATCCCTGTACAATTCCTGTATGTTTATCATATAAGTCACTCCTCTAAGAGTCTGCATTTCTCAGAGAGGGGGTGGGTATCTGTGAACTATACCTCTGCTCATAAGCTTCAAGGGCTACCTAGTCTAGTGACCTGTGTTCTTGGTAGTTCTTTTGATGGTTTTTATTTATTTATTTCACCCCAATCAATATAAGCAAAGACAGAGAACATAACAGAAAGAATATAGTATTTTTATTACATTGATTGATTGACTGATAGACTGATTGATTATTTGATTCTTGATTGATTGATTGATTGATTGATTAATTAATTGATTGATTATGTGCCATCAGCACCCATAGAAATAGATTTTCTCCATGACAACTAGTCCCCGACTTAGCCCTTCTGGTCTTCCAACAGTGCACAGGTAATTCTCAACTTACAACAGTTCATTTAGTGACTGTTCAAAGTTACAACAGCACTGAAAAAAGTGACTTACGACCGTTTTTCACACTTACAACTGTTGCAGCATCCCAAGGGTCACGTGATCAAAATTCAGATGCTTGGCAAGTGACTCATATTGATGACAGTTGCAGTGTCCTGGGGCCATGTGATCCCCTTTGGCGACCTTCTGACAAGCAAAGTCAATTGGGAAGCCAGATTCACTTAACAACCTGGTCACTAACTTAACAACTGTAGTGATTCACTTAACAACTGTGGCAAGAAAGCTCTTAAAATGGGACAAAACTCACTTAACAAATGTTTCACTTAGCAACAGAAATGTTGAGCCCAATTGTGGTCGCAAATCAAGGGCTACCTGTACTCAGTGCTATTGTAACTGACTCCATCCACCTTGATGGTGGTTGACCTCTTTTTCCCTTTTGGTCTGGTTTTTGCCATCATTAAAGCCATCATAGGCCTTTGCATAATATGCCCAGAATAATTTAGGCCTCGTGATTTTTATCTTGACTGAAAACTTGATTAGTTGATTAGTTCAAAAATCTGTTTGTTTGTTTTCTTGGCTGTTCGTGGTATTCTTAAGTCTTTTCCCACACTAAATTTCAAAAGCATTAATACACTTTCTCTCCTGCTTTTTCAAAGTCTAATTTTCGCTTTCATGGAATATCACAGAGAATAAAACCACCGCTTGCATTATTCTGAATTTTGTAAGAATAGATATGTCGGGGCATCTGAAAATCTTTTCCAAGGCAGTTCTAATCTATGGTGTATTTCCTGACTGCTTGTTCATTTACTACGTATAGTTGATCCTAAAAGGCAGAAGTTAGTTACCACTTGCATATCTTCATTGTCAGTTCTAAGGTAGGTTGTTGTACCCATTGCCATTAGTTTGGTCTTCTATATGT